ATATATATATATATATATATATATATATATATATATATATATATATATATATATATATATGAACAATAGAATAATTGTGTGAATGTCATGAAAGTGGGTCACATTTCAACACAAAATTAAAAGATGAACCACAAAATATTTTAAATACTTAATACTAAAACTTTAAACTTAAATTGAAAACTGAAAATATAAAAATAAAAAACAATTTCTAAATATTATTTACAATTTATCAGTAGTGTGTGGGCCCCACATAAACGGACACCGGTTTATCAGAAAAGGGTTAAAAGTGCATGAAAATTGTCCTGGAAATCACAATTTTCCATGACCATGGGGCATGTGTGTATAATTAAAATTTGTGATATCATTTTATTTCATCACTCAATGTTGACATGCTTATTTTCTGCAGCCAGTTGCACAAATGCAGCCATTATGTTTGTCTTAACTAGTCCAACCAACTAGCAGTTGGGATAAAATTGCCTTATGTTGTTTTGACCAGGAAAAAATTAGACTACGGAGTTGTAATACTTAGTCTAAGCGGTTTATGCCACTGGAGTGTTTTTCTGAAGCACACATTTACCTTCAGTAATAAAATCAGAGATGTAGTGCGGTTTTGTGACCATGGGGCATGTGTGTATAATTAAAATTTGTGATATCATTTTATTTCATCACTCAATGTTGACATGCTTATTTTCTGCAGCCAGTTGCACAAATGCAGCCATTATGTTTGTCTTAACTAGTCCAACCAACTAGCAGTTGGGATAAAATTGCCTTATGTTGTTTTGACCAGGAAAAAATTAGACTACGGAGTTGTAATACTTAGTCTAAGCGGTTTATGCCACTGGAGTGTTTTTCTGAAGCACACATGTAAAATCAGAGATGTAGTGCGGTTTTTAGACTTTTTTCAGTCACCGTAACCACATTCTCATTCAGTTGATCTTAATCGGATTCCAACAAATTCTGGCCTCCTGTGAAACAGATTTGGGGTCATTTTGAGGAATCGGGCTGTTTGATTGGCTGGTGTTTCTGTCCGTAGAGCCAGACTGAAGACTGGGGAGGTTTGACCAATGAGGAGATCTTATAAGGGAGCGGAGTCCCGCCCACCCTGTCAGCCGATTGGTAAATGGTGTGATTTTGCTTGAGCTGAATTCTGATTGGGCATGACGAAGCTCTCGCTCGCTCTGATTGGAGGAGACGTGGTGATGTGAGGGGGGAGCTCTTGACCTTTGACCTGGTCACAAGATTTAGGCTGCATCCCAGTTCACAGACTAAAAGTATGTGGAAGTATATACTTTTGAGTTTGTATTAAGACAGTACGCTGGGATTGGGACCAAGAAATAAAATAATGTCTTAATACACAAAATAGCTTTTCCAAAGCGAGCAACTCGGTGTCTACATGTAAAAATTATTTTTCGAAGTTATGAATAAAACAACTATTATTAGAGTACATTTTACAAGAAAAGAATGTTTTAGACATTCTACATCAACATTTTATTTCATTCAATGTGTTTGTTTCTTTGTAATTATTTGCTAAATTTACTAGCGATTTTTGAGTGAAAATAGTTTCTACACCACTTAATTATTTATGAAAAATTATGTATTATTATTTATGAATTAACTAATAATTCAGAGTTTGCAATAACTAGTTAGTAATTCATTCTAAAGTAATCCATATAAAAACTGCAGCTTTTGCTTAAAAAAAAAAAATAATAAAATAATTGTGAATCATAATTTGGCATATATGATTAATAAATTGGGTTGAAGTTATCGGTTTGCATTTAATTATCAATTTTCAAAAAATTACTTGAATATAATTAAATTATTATATTAATATATAATTGAATGTATAATATTTGTTGTACTTTTATCTGTCTGTTTGTTTGTTTAAAAAAAGTTTATTTTGTTCTTTTTGGAATGTTTCAAAATTGCTTTTCCAGGTGGATTGTTGACAAAACACTGCTAAGTAAATAAATGCATAAAAATAAAAGTCCAGTGTAGAATTAAGAACATTATTGAATTATTATTATTATTATTATTAATTAATTACATTATTTAGTTATTTAACATAAATGTAATACAATTAATGTATTCAATTTAATACATTAAATAGTGAGCATGCAATGTAATTTGTCACTGCTTATTGCATTATATAAAATAGTATACAGTGTGTACTGCAATGATTAGTACACTAATCCATTCAGTACTAATCCATATATTTAAAACTACATATTTTGCTTCATAATAAAAGATTTGAAAGTGAATCCTAATCTGGCATGCTATGCAAATTGGGTTGCAGCATCAGTCTTAAAGGGCCAGTAATAGTAATTTGTGTCGCGCCTTCAGTTATTGGTTTGCATCACAATGACACATTGAGCTGAACTGTTCTGTGAATACATGCATGTAATGCAGATGTGTTGCATTAAAAACACGCACCCCGTCTCCACAATCAGACGCTCTTGATGTGTGTGTGTCGACCTCTGACATGATGCTTGATGGGAACTAACCGGCACTGGATGACTAGCGATGTTTTAACTGCATTTCATGCCTGCAGTGAGCTGTGTGTTGCTCTGTCAGCGCAGGAGCAGAGATTATTTGTGTGCGTGTGAGCTGAGGATGAGACATGAGTGCCTTCCTTTTCATTTTGGGGCTTCGGTGCTGCATAAATATCCCACTGCATCAGAATAAATCGCATTATGCGGCGAGGGGTTTGTGTTTTATGATGTGATCTCTCTCTCTCTCTTCCTCGCTGTCTGCCTTTTGCTGATGTTCTTGTTTACATTTTTGTTGAATTTACACATCATATTATATATTATTTATTTTCATATTTATTTATTTAAATTTTCAGTAGATTTTAACATACTTGTTAATATATAATAAATAAATTGTGTATATAGCTATATAAATATTACACACACACACACACACACACACACATATATAGATGTATAACTAAATAAATTAAAATGTAATAATAGAAAAATTTGTATACTACAAGTATGTAATATAAATTAAAATGAAATATTTATATATATATATATTTTTTTATGTTATTATATTTACATATAATCTAATTATATTTTAAATGTATAGCTAAATGTAAAAATATAATCATTTTATAATTTAATTATATATATATAAACATATATTTTTACATTGCATATATTTTATAGTTATTTATATATAAATCGTTTTTTGTTTTTATTTTTCTTGTAATACAGCATTTATTTTGTTCTTTCAGAAATGTTCTGGAATTATTTTCCCAGGTGGATCGCTCTCATTAGTTAATAAAAAAATATGAATAGTCCTAAAAATAAAGGAATCTTTTTTGTGTGTCATATTTTCAAATATTTTTCTCTTTGGTATGCATGCAATATGTGACCTCAACACGTTTTTGTGGTTTTCACCCAGACTGGTTTCATATGATTTAGTTTTAATAATCCGATTACCATTCTTTACTTTCTCTGTGTAGTTTAATTTTGAGAGAGGAAAAAAAATTAATAATAAACCGATTTCAAGCTTAGGTCTTAAACTTCAAACAGACGCCCTGCCGCCTGAAACGCCTCCCTCTGTTTGCTGAGAGGGTTTTAATTGAAAGCACACAATCCCTCGTTCAATCTAATGAGAGCTTGACCCGGGAAAGTCACTCCGGAACATTCCTGAAAGAGCAGAAGAAATTCCACACGGACTCGGAGCTCAAAGCTTAATTCCAGAGGACAGACGAGGCGCTGGAGTTCATCTGAATCAGTCTCTGATGAGAAACCTGCTGTAGATGCAGCTGTGAGACGGCTCTGGAGATGGATCCGGACACCGTTAGCTGCTGGAGAGTGAACTCTAGTGTCATGACGCTGCCGTTCTGTGTGTTTGTGAATGTCCTGCAGGTGTTTTGAGTCCGAACATGTCGGCCGAGTCCTCGGGACTCTTCCAGAGTTAAACCGGTTCAGATCGACGCGCTTCAGGTCTGGGCTTCCTTCCATCTGTAGAATGGTTTCACTGTTGTTAGTGCAGAAACACCACTAGATGGTGCGTTTAATGTAGCTGTAATGAGTGTTTGTGTGACGGGTTTGTAGTTCTGCCCCGTCTCGTGTTTTGTGTGTCTTTGTGGTCCTCCTGCTCTGAGTTTATGGTTTATATTGGTGTTCCCCATCCTGTGTGTTAATGTAGAGAGATATGGGTTACAACTGGTTTTGCTTCAGGACCAGCACCGTACTAAAATCACCATAAAAGTCACTTATAAACATCTGAACTTCATTTATTTGGTCCGAAATATAGAAAAAAAATTTGAAATATTTTTATGGTTTAAAATAGATATTTTCTCTTGTAATATATTGTAAAATTTAATTTATTTCTGTGATGCGCAGCTGAATTTTCAGCATCATTACTGCAGTCTTCAGAGTTACATGATCTTCAGAAATGATTCTAATATGCTGATTTGCTGCTAAAGAAACATTTCTGATTATTATCAATGCCCAAAACAGTTGTGCTGCCCAGTATTTTTTTGTGGAAACTGTGATGCATTTGATTTTCCAGAATTCTTTGCTGAATATTGAGCTGCGTTTATTTGAAACCGAAATCTTTTGTAATATTATAAATGTCTTTACTGTCACTTTTGATCAATTTAATGCATAATGCATTCATTTCTTAAAATAAAAATAAAATCATACTGACCCCAAACATTTGAACGTTAGTGCAGTTAGTGATCATATTTAGTAAAAATATTTATATATTTGTCATGAATATTAATGGTATAATTTTTAATATGAAATAATTTTCACTTTATATGTAGTTGTGCTCATTAATATTTGCGGTATTGCATTGAAAATCAATTGAATGCATCAAATCATTATTATTTTCTTTCAAATTAAAGTTTTTATTGTAGTCAGAATTTGAGATTAATTACAGTACTTGTACTACAACAAACCTCTTGTAATTTATTGTAATCTCACGACAGGGTTAATTAAAGGGGTGGATGATCGCGATTTTACTTTTTTAACTTTAGTTAGTGTGTAATGTTGCTGTTTGAGCATAAACAATATCTGTAATGTTACGACACTGAAAGTTCAATGGAAACGGAGATATTGTCTTTTAAAGAAAAGTCTGTTTAATGCCTACAATTACGACTGGTAGGGACTACAACGAGCTTCTTCCCGAGTTGGTGACATCACAAACCCTGCAATTAACATAAACCCCGCCCCCGGGAACACACAACAAAAGGGGCGGGGCCATGTTGCACGGCTTTTCCACCGGAGCACATGCAACTATTGCCCATAATAGTAAGGGGAGTGTCATTTCTGGACAATGTGCAAGACACGGTTAACAAATCACAATACACCGGGCCAGCTAACCAATCGGAGCCCACTGCATATTTAGGAGGGAGTGGTATCATAGAAACAGGAAGTCAACCAGTCAGCAGCGTAGAATAAAGGTAAAATGTGGCTTTTTTTTTTTTTTTTTTTACGAAGCATGAAGGCATGTTAGACTGCACGCCATAGACACAATCAAGCCTAGAAAAAAAGCAGCCAACCACCCCTTTAAAATATAACAATCCCATTGTAGAAAGTCTGACCAAAATGTGTATTAAGTGCATTTACATGTGCAATAAAATTATTAATTAAATATTAATATTATAAATCTCATCACCTCCATCAGTGTTGATGTAAAATTTAAAATACACATGCAAAATGTATAAACATGCTCATATTTAATAAAATGACTGATGCACCATGAAAATGAGGTAATGCTTAAAAACCTAAGTGTGTCAGTTTGTGTTAACCGGTTTTTACCAGTAATCGCTGTGAGATCGTGCATGTAAACGCACTCAGAACGAGTTTATGTGGCCTGTCGATGGTTTGTTGAAGCACCTGTGTTGTTTTGCACGTCGTCTATCGTCCTGCACGCGTCTGTCCGTCTGCATCTCGCAGTTGTGTGTCTGTGCTTGCCTGCACCATCATCAGTGTGTTTGTGTGTTTCTCCTTTAGCCCCGACATGAGTACTTTAACGTGCCCGTGTACTGATTGGCTGCATGCTGAGCCCCTCCCCCTGCACGCCTGCTGGCTCCGCCTCTGCCTCCAGCACCATCCATCAGAGAGCTGCATCTTGGACCCTGTTTCACCTGCACACTGTCCAACTGAAATAGTGTGTCATTCGTGTTTGACTGTGTGTGTGTGTGTGTGTGTGTGTGTAACTGTGCTGTGCTAAATCAATGTTGTAAATCAATATCTCGTTCAGGCGACTCTCAATCATGTAGCTTCAGGAAATCAAACCTTAAAATGTGGATGGATCTGTTCTTCACTTTGAAGACACTTTTACCAGATATTTCAAATTCACTGAATAATTCATTCAAGCTCTAGAGATCCAGGTTATAAAGAT